TAGCATATTTGGAATCAGCGTATGAAGCTGATTCAGAATATAGCCCCTTCCACAAGGCGGAGCTAAGTTAGGTAGCTTCCCTTGTCTCAATCATGAAAAATCAAAGTGGTTGAGACATGAATTGGAACAAAATTTATCTTTTTCTTGGCTTGTTCAAATATAATTCAACCACTTCACTTTCCATAAAATTTCTTTGAAAAATCGTAGTTTGGTTTTGTCCATTCACTTGCCATACCTCCACTTGGTTTTGCTGTGCTCTGCCACCCATGAGAGGAATCGCGAGATCGAAGTGGTTCCATCCATTTCAGACGACATACACCTGTGGAATTTTTCAATATTGCAGCATCCGCATTGCGTCATATATTTGTGTATATATGCTTAGTTTTTTTTTGAATGCAAAGCAATCCCAGTGAAAAACATCAATTCACTGCCTTCTGCATCTTTCGTGATCACAGATCCAAATTGTAGCTCAAAATGTTTAGCTGCGATTCGGAATAATTTCGCATGAGAAAACACAAAATGAAGTTCTTTCCATAAGTTAATAATTCACTAATTTTTGTTTTGTTTTGCTTAAGATTTGAAATTGCAAATGTGGCTTATTAATCTTCGAACCGGCACTTACTGACAAAGGAATGGTAAGAAGTCGAAGTGGCTTATTTGAACAAGCTGCAGACAATTGGATGCAGCATATAACGCTGACTCCAAATCTGTCTTTCATATGTGCTGCCTTTCTAGACGAAGGAGCAGCCCATATAAACTGCGAAATTAGGCACATCGTCACCTTTTTAGCTCATATTTGAGTCTAAGCTATGAAAATTTATTAGCTGCATGTTTTGACACATCATTAAGCCAGAACGTGGCTCTCTATGGCCAAATTTGCACTATGCATACACAATTTGTTTGCAATAAAAAAGCTTGTATTTTCGTCCACAAAAGCAAAAGCGTTCAGCAGATAAGGAAGAGCACTTAGGGTCAGCATTCTATGTTCCGATGTTATGCAGCTTGCTTGGATAGGCCGCTTCGACTTCCGACCATTGCTTTGTGATGGCATTTTTTTTCTGAAAACCAGGCATTTACAGAACTGGCAACCACAAGGTGTCCCAAAAAACGTACAGAATGTGCGACCGCTGAAGACTGTCTTTCCTAAGCGCTCTTCGTGGGACATTGGGCATCACATCAAGGGCTGGCCTTGACATGCAAGGAACGGATCCCAAGTCAGCCTGGCCAATCCATTTGAGCCATACAGCGTGATGCGCATGAAACGCTGATTCCAAATCTAACGTCGGCAACTGAGGGACGCTTCTATAAAAGCAATCATGATGGGGGAGGGGATGCTTCTCTCCGGGGTTTGCGCCCTTCAACATCTCGCCTTTGGCTAACAAGGAAAGGATACCAACATTAGTCGGCGATTGAAGATGAGATGTATATCAATAGACGCGCCTTTGAACGCTGATTCTGCTTTCCTTTTCTGCGAAACAACTCTCCGAAAAAAGTTATGAGCGCTTGAATGTCCAAATTTGTCAAGCATTGAATGGCATAAAATTAGCGAAAAGCTCTAAGACAATACTTAAGCAATTTCCATCGGCTTTGTTCCTTCATTGCAAGCAATATGCTCGATAAAAAACTGATTTCCCGCTTTCCGATGTTTTTGTGCATCGTTTCGTCAACTTTAGGCCACCTAAACCTTGACAAATTTGGACATTTAAACGCTCACAACTTCTTTCGGAAACTTATTCGCAAAAAAAGAAAGCAGATTTGGAATCAGCGTTCAAAGATGCATCTACCGGTATACATCTCATTTTCAATTGCCAACTAATGTTGGTATCCTTCCCTTGTAAGAGCAACATAGAAGGCGGCGTGGCGTTATGGAGCAAAGCTACGCCGCATTCGCCTGCGGTTGAACTCTTTTAACACGTTTCGGACCGGTGCTGCACATGGTGCAGCACCCTGCTTTGAAGGATCTTCTTGATGTTTACAGGAGGTTTTCTCTTAGCCCAAGGTTATCAAGTCAAGGGCTAAAGCTTCTACTTTCCAAGTGACTCTGTAGAGTTGTGCCGCCGATATTTGTTTAGGAGATGTGAGCACAAATCGAACAACAGTTGCAACGAAGTGCGGCGACGCAAACGACGCGTGCGACATCGCAACTTTTCTTTGCTTTGATTTCGAAGAGAAAAACCCTAGTTTCAGTAATGATGTGTACCGTGTACAACATAGATACTTTTGAATACTATTAGAATCTGACTTCTTGTTCCTATCTTTCAAGAAAGCACAAAAGTCCCTCTCAAGCGACAAAATTCAAACACTTCGAATTCACTCAGAACTTTGGATATGGAGCTCTGACATGCTGATTACAAATTTGGCCCACAGGCTGCGAAATAAGGTCCCTTTGTAGGCTAACGGCTGAAAGTACACTCTTTTTCGCCGCGCGCGATTTCGCGGTCCGAAACGTGTTAACCCAAATCCAGCATTGAATCATCCCATAGTCAGCCTTTGATTTATCCCTAAGATTCATCTATTTATTTGAACATATCAGGCTGTAGTAATAGGGAACGGCTTGATCCGCTATCAGGAGCAGCGCTACTCCTGCGGCTGCAGTTAAAGGGGACGCAACGCAAATGCCCCTCAGGATATACCGCAGGGGAATGCGGCATAGCTTTGCTCCATAACGCCTGCCCCCCATATAGAACAGTACGTCGTGGCGGGGCTGGTATAGTGATAAGTAACGCTGCTTGTTAACAGAGGGTCACGAATTGGTTCCGTACATGCGACTTTATTGCAATTTTGCAAAATGTATTGATAAATGGCTTCAGACATTAAAACCTAACATTCCGAAAAATATTAACACGTTTCAGACCGCGAAATCGCGCGGCGAAAAAGAGTGCACTTTCAGCTGTTAACCAACAAAGGAACATTATTTCGTAGACTGTGTGCTACATCTGTAATCAGCTTGTCAGATAAGTTTCATACCCAAAGTTCTGAATGGATTCGAAGTGTTTGAATCTTGTCGCTTGTGAAGGACTTCTGTGCTTTCCTGAAAGATAGGGACAAGAACTCAGATTCTAATAGTATCCAAAAGTATCTATGTTGTAGACGGTACAGATCAGTATGAAACTACGGTTTTTCTCTTTGATATCGAAGCAAAGGAAAGTTGCGACGCCGCACGCGTCGTTCGCGTTGCCGCACTTCGTTGCAACTGTTCGATTTGTACTCATATCTTCTAAACAAATATCGGCGGCGCAACTCTACAGAGTCATTTGAAAAGTAGAAGCTTATGCCTTTGACTTGATAACCTTCGACTAAAAGAAAACCTCTTGTAGACGTCAAAAAGATCCTACAAAGCAGGGTGTTACACCATGTGCAGCACCGGTCCGAAACTGTTAACGCATTTAAAACCTAAAATTTCTGAAAATATCAGTGCATTAATGCTAATTAAAGGCAGAAATTATAAAAAAACCAAAGTGATAGCAAGTATCAGAATTTTCAATCAGTCACTTACCACTACGCCATTCAGCCACCCCTGCTCTCCTATATTGCTCGTAGGTAAGGACGCCATGTTGAGGGGCGCCTCAACTCTCAACGAAAAGATCCCCCATAACTCCTTCTACTAAACGGTTCTGCAGCTAGAAAATAACAATTTGAAATTAGCGTTTCATATGCTTCGTCTGGATTGGCCGGGATGGCTTGGGATCCTTTTCTTCTTAGATTTACAGCACAAAAGGATCGTGCACCTTTTCCCGTTGTAAGATTCACGGTAGAGATTCTAGCACAATATCGTCATCGCAATGCACATGCCAATTCAAAAAATTGTGAAATTGTCTGAAAACGTTTGTAGTGAGATCTTCATACCCGCTGGTTTATTATATAATTTTTTATACGTTTGTAGAGCTCTTCAGTTGGTATACTCAGGTTTAACCGCTGTCGTAGTATATCTGTCGTTACTTTTGCACGAAAGATCATGAAGCAAGAAGTTTAACTGTAGAACCAACAATGCTATCACCTCGGAAAAAGTTTTCAGCCCTTTCGGACACTTTGGGGGGGGGGGGTAGGAGGGGAGATAGCATTGGCGCAATTTTTTATCGAAAATTCTCAATGTTTACACTAATAGAAAAGGAATCGGAGATCCACTTTATAGAGCAAATCTAAAAAAAACATTTTCAGTCGAGGTGCCCTTTCCAAGCGAGCCCTATACCGCTGTGAAGAGCATTGAATGGATTCAAAATCTGCCTTCACTATCTGCCAAACGCCTGTGTACATCGAGTTATGAGTTTTTGGGTTTGAAATAGTCAATGCCCAACTTGTTCAAAATCATCCAGTATTGCTCAAATGAACCAGTGCCATAATCAGAGCATTTCGTCCAACGAATCACTTCTGCCTAATACATCAAACTCATCACTAATATGATTGAGGTAATAAATGGTTTTACCTAAATTCTGCGTTCACTGTAGACGCTTAGCAGATAATGATTATAGAGCTGTTATCGGTGTTCTGCTCTTAAATGGTCCAGGACTCTTATGAAAACTACAGTATGACGCGTGAACATCGCAAAAGCATTCAGACAACAGAGTTTGGTATAAGCAACTAAGTGTTTGATACACATTTTGGGATATCTCTAAAACTACCTCTTCAGGCTTTCCGACTTCAAACATGTCGTTTCAAGGTCATTTTGAGAAGCAAGATTGGTACAAGGCAGCGACCACGTAGAACAGCCCGTTGGTAATTTGCTATGCTTTTACACTTATAAAACTCTAAATGATGCATTTTCTCCACTGACCACGACTAAACGAAATATTGCACCTCCTGTCGATCTAAAACCCGAAGCTTGTGGCCTCTTAACACTAAAAAGAGTCGCAAACCTCTCTTCACACTGAACTTAATATAAAACGATGACGGAAATGCTGAAGTTGTTAATTGCAGAAAAGTTTTGCAGTCCTAGTAGTGCTGGCGCTCTTTCCAATGCCCTTGTTTGTATTCAGACAAATAGAAAACAGTACAAAAAATCTATTCAAGCCGTCACATGTTGCTGATGTACAAAATTATTCATGCTAACTACCCTGGTTAACAGTGTAGTCATCGAAGCTTAGCAAGACGTTTATTTGCAAAAAAACGTACACAATTGTGTAATCGATAGGGATATTTGAGCTTCCACCACTTAAAAAAAGATTTAGAATGGTGTGCTTATGGAGAAGCTTCTATTTACATAATCCAAGACTGTAATCGCATCCATCAATTTTAATAGGACAAGCACCACAAGGAGGGAGCGCTCTGGAGGTTGTTGAGTTATTGTTGTAGAGCTTTTGATTTACGATGTTTCCTCTGTAAAAATTACTTATAAAACACAGCAAATTTAGCACTCGGCGTACTTTGGATCATACAGACATATGACGGTGTAGTTGGACTTACAGGTGGAGATTGCACACCCAAGTCTCGCAGTACTCGCCCAAGCCATCTGAATGGACGAAGTTGAAAACAAAGATTTTTGTGTAAGGCATAGACGAGGGATTTTTTTTTCAGTTACGAAGGAAGGCATTCAACTTATTTGACCTTTCGAATAACGACGCATATGATCGGCGACTTGAAACGTTTATTTCAAACTAGCTGGCAAACTCGGCCGTGCCCGGCCGTCAATAATTTTCGTCATTTGTACCTCCACCCCCCCCCCCCGTTGCAACTCCCAGCCCTGTGCTCAAAATTTGCGAAAAATTGATAAAGTCGGTATCGATCAATAACGAGAAGTAGCTCCCCGCCTTAACTATATGTGTGCCATTTCGGTCCGGATCTGTTCGAAAATGAAATCATGGAACGACGGCCTTTAGATAAGAAGCTGCTCTAAAAATAGTGGGATATCAAAGTAACTTTATATTGTGTGATTTGCTCTGAGGTAATGCCCTAAAATCGTTGATACGATGATACCGTAACACTGGTAAGTCTGCCAACACGCAAATCCTGCTCAGAAAAAGTTCATAGCTTCAGAGTAATGTTTCGCAGCGTGATAAGCATATGAAACCAGCGGTTCATGCTGTGTCGCTTTTCAAAAAGACAAACAAGTTAGGTCTTTTCATGTTAGTTCAACTATTAGTTTGCCTCAAAAGTAATCCGTATTCCTTGATAAATTAAAATGTTTTTGTTTTCCTAGCATACTTAGGCCATTCAATAGGGCGAAGCAAGCTCTACATAGTGACCCACCAATGATCAGCTTAAGTCGTAATCCAGGTAAAATTTGGAGCCAAAAGCGAAATAATTTTACCACCTAAAAGTTGGATTTTTGCGAAAAATAAATTATACGAAGCCCCAAAGTGGTTGTTATATAAATGATACATAGTAGTATGTTCTGGAATCTTTTCGTGCATAGAAATTGAGAAAAATGAAAGTCCAAAAATGGCAAACTCCACCCCAGCTCCTCCCACATATGTGTATACCACAAGCCTTAGTTAGTACGATCTCAGAATTCCACCTCCGTTTGTGACCCAATAAGCGGGAATTACATAGTAAAATCTCGTAAAGTAACATTTTGGCGTTTTCGGGCTATATTTTCTAGATTTTGAGCACCGGAAAAAAATCCACCAAATACATTTTTGGGTACATCTTGAGTTTACTACATAATGACCAAGTTGGAGATCGTAGGAATTTTCTAAAAGGAGATTAGTTTTTTTAGGGTAGTTGAAAATTTTGAAGTTTCGGTTCCAAATTTTACCTAGATTACGACTTCGGTGGATCTTTGGTGGCCTTTCTGCAGAATTTGCTTTGCTCTATCGAGTAACACCCCAAGTCTGCTAGGAAATAAAAACATTTTGATTTATTTAGGATTACGGTTTACTTTTAAGCTAGTACTTGCCTTGTCTTCGCACGACAGATTTTGAAGCTTTATACAAATACCTACCTGAGTGAAAGATTCTATAGCAGTACCAACATGTTTTTGGAGAAATTTCAAAGAAGTCGTTGGGCCTTCGCGATCAGAATTTACAACATCCCACCAGTCATTTATAGCCTTTTTTCACATTTTAAAAGCATTTGCAGAATCTTGAAGGTTGAAAAATATACCGTCGTTATTGCATCTTGATAAGTTGGCGTGGTAGTGCTGGACGCGAAAGTGTCAAAGTTTTTACCAAAGCTTTCATCCGCTTTCTTGGAAGTAGGACATTTTCGTACCTCTTCAATAGCGGCTTTCTCCAGTTCACAATCATACCTCTAGATCTCCCTTTTAATGTGAAAGTGTAAATTAGTGTTTAGTATAACATCACCAATTTCAGAATATCTCCTCCCTGTGGTAGGTGGTTTCCGTTTGGTCTCGTGACTTCTCCTTTTGCTAGCAAGCTTCTGGAAATTGCATTTGCAATTGCAATGAAAGCAATATGAAGATAAAATTCTGTGACTACATTCCTAATAAACTGAATATGGACCTTCTAGAATTGTGTTCGTCAAGAAATTTCGTTCTGAGTTCGTCGGTCATTCCAATATTATCTTTGCATACGGTGTTTGTCCCTGTAATAGCAATCATTCGAAGATTTGAGAAGTCAATCAGCTTGATTCGATTTTTGAATTTCAGTTGCTTGAGCAGGAAATTCGAAAGCAGCTAAAAAATCCTGACTATTGTTCTCGTAATTCGGAAGCCCGTCATCTTATGAGTTCTTCACTACATCAAAATAGGCATCTTCAGCACCACACTGAGACACAGAACTTTCTGGGGAAAGGGGGGGGGGGGAGGTTGGGGGGTCGGATAGAAGGAGAGCCTCATGCCGCCGGTGGCATGGTAGAGCATGCCACTATGCAAGTATCATGCTCTACCCCAAAAACAAAAGAATGCTTTGTTTGTAACCAACGGTATGTTACTATAACTGGTGAGCGTATGCGCTTGAGGGAATCGAGGAATGGTCCGAAAATCCATGGCAACTTTTGTGAATGAAGGCCGTGCTCAACCTTCACGTAAAAAATCTACACGAGAATAAAACTGTTTCATGATGTTTCCTCGCTTTCTTAGAGCCCTCAAAAATTTTTTATTGGCGGCGCAATATGCTCCGATCACAAAGCTGACCTCTAAGCAAACCACATTCGATGCTGAATATGTTTGCCTTAACCCTCTTCTCGTTTTAGGTTCCCTTATCATACATGTTTGTCATCGATCTCAAGAAGAAACGAAAAGGAGCGATTTCTATAAAAGCCACCAACTTGACAGCCCAATTTAGAGCTTACACGAGTCTTTTATGATACCAGAGGCAAAGTGCTCCAGCTTGCTAACTATCTGAAGCTACCATTTGCTAAGTTTGGAGGTTTTGGTGAAAACTTGATTGAAATTTCCAAGGAAACGATATCAGATGCTTTTTCATAAGTTCTTGACCTCCAACACTTATTTTCTAAAAACACTTTTGAAAGATAAGATCAAGCAGCTCAGGGGACAATCATACGTATCTTGTTAGAAGTTTGAATTGCTCTTAGAGCATCATAAAATACTAAAAATGCGTTGATTAGTGTCCATCTGGCTACCCGGTAGATTTTAGGCTTCCGACCATGGAGTAAAATGAGTTCGGCACATTGCAAAAAATAATAAAAGCTATTAAATTCTTTTTTTTGATAAATGTAAGCGGAGACTTTTACCGTTATACAATTCATCCTGGGGTGAGGGACAGCACAAGCAAAAAGGACCAGTGAGAACTAGTGAGAGGGGGATGTCGAAAAATGTTGAAGTGACCTTTGTAAGATTTCTTCAAAATCAAGTAGAGCTTCGTTTTAAAGTCTTATTCGAGCTATCCTCTTTGAGTCCGTCTTTTGTCATGGTTGCGAAAATCTGTCTGTCACGGAAATTATGATTTCACCGAACTTTTGTGCCAAATTTTTGCATAACGCTACCAGCATGCGAGGTTACCAGCACAAAGATCTGACACGTGTATCCTATTGCAATTAGGCGTCAAACGGGTCCACATGGCTTCCTAGTCTGCAAAAGCCTGAGTGTCGACTAGCCTTTCTGCAAATTTAAGAATATGCTTGACATGTGTAATCTCGAGCCACCAACGTTACAGAATTCATTTTTCTCGCGGAAACGGCAGGAGGCGTATTTGCATAAATAGCCTATTTGTTGAGGATTTTCTGAGAATTTAAGGAACTTGCTCAAAAACGTAGCAAAAGGTATATCTGCGTAGATAGCCTATCTCTTGAGAATTTTCTGAGAATTGAGGAGCTTGCTGAAAAACGGAGCAATGTGGTCGTTAACTAGAAGTATCAGGCCATAATAAATGTAGTGAATGGTCCAAACTTGCATTTGTTTATCTGCAAGGAGGTCTTTTGCTGCAAAGGTTACCCATCTTACATGAAAAGCTTTCGTAATGACTTTACAGTTTATCCGTGGTCAGCATTGATGCGTTTTCCGCGATTATGTGAGCAATAGAATGCATGCGAATAGTAGAGAAATTGCGTACATCTAAGGGCAGCGGTGACAAACTGGTTATTTTGATAACCAGTTTGTACTCCGCTCGTACACTTTCTTCAAGTTGTAACCTAGTTAGCAGGACAGATAGCAAGGAGTGCTTACGAAGCTATCTTTCAAGCAATCTTTGCTAACTTTCCTGCTAACTAGGTTACTACTTGAAGAAAAGTGTGCGAGCAGAATATTGATCACCAGTAATCGATGAAAGGGTTTTACGTTAAGAATAAGAAATGCCATAATTGGAATGTCTGTTTTGCATAACAGGAATTTCTACCTAGCTCGAACATCACCTTTCATGGTGATCCATGCGATGCTTCTTACTAACACTATCTTCTTAAGCGTAGAAGCGCATAATTATGCGCATCACAGTAGGTGATTTCATGTGATAGACTGCAGATCAGCAATTCCGCTACTTGCTCACAGTAGCTATCGATGAAAAATCGGGACAATTCAAACTGCGTGAAAATACGATCGTTCTCCCTTTCCTGTCAAAAGACGAGGACAAGATCTGGACATGAAATTTTGTTAATGAGACCGTTTTATCATTGCAGGTACTATGATCGAGAAATACCCCAAAAAGTTCTGAGCCACAGATTGATTACAATCCAAGCACTCTGTTATGGTTAAAGGATGGAGAAGGATACAGGGGTAAAGTGTTTGAATTGACACACCTTGGAAAACTGTTTTGATTGTCTGAATTTGCGCCACTATATTCTAGTCCCCTCTAATTATTCTGTTTCTTTCTATCTCTTTCACTTTTTCTTGGACATACCTTCAGGCAATACTTCAGGATAGCTGGGTACGGTTGTTGCTGTAGTCGCTGGCGCGGCCAAAGCTGCCGTCATCTGAATCTACGGCTCAAGCATGTTGCGAGGCTGTAGGGGGAATGTCAAACTTACCATCAAGAAAATGTTGATTGAACTCATGTTTGTCGACTGGAACACTGTGAGTGGAATTCGTCGGCTTTTGTACTACTCTTCGTGGTTGTGTGGGCTGCTTATTAGTGTGGTTCGGCACGTTTTTTTGCGAAGCTCAATTTCGCCTATCTCTCAATTGCTGGATAAGCAGGATTATTGTTAAGCTCGCCGACGTGATAGATGCCTAATGCAACTAACTGACTAGTTTAGTGTGCCTTTTTGTTGGGTTAATGGATTAACTATGCCAATTTTCTCTTCGAAAATGCTTGTTATGGTAGTTCTGAATACAAAAATGCGCATATGATGTTGCAGTGTTCATATCGTGTGCTATACTTTGTTCCAACAAGGGTAAGAGATAATACACAAATATGCTCTAACATTGAATCCACCCCAACTCAGCAGGAGCAGTACAAGGCAGCTCAGCCAAACATTGTCTATCAGCAACTTTGAAATGTGAACACTAACTAAAAGTTGATTAGGTTCCTTTGTTTGGCAAACACGAAACTACGAGCAGAATAATCAGAAAATCCAAGAGCAGTACAGGTGCTAGATCTATTTTTCTTGAAACTTGACCTTTTTGAGCCCATTAAACCTAACTCCATCTCTTTTATTTGCTGGTTAATACTTCTTCTTCACATTTTTCGAGACATTTCTGAAAGCCTCTTATGCATTTTTGTTTACTGAAGTGCTATATGAAATTACTGAAACTCTCACAAACAGAAGGCAAGTTATATCTTGCAAAACGCTTTATCTCTGATGAGGGGTTTACTAGGTGTACCAGTGGCGGTTTCAGCATTCCCGTTAGGAAGGCGATGAAGATTTTTTCGGATGGAGGTGCTAGGCGTTAACCTAGCGTTCCAAAAAAATTTTGGGGAGCTAAATTGAATTTTTCAAAAAATCTTGAAAATTATTTCAATTATTCAGAAGTAATAAGAAGTCAATTGCACATTTTATAACTCATGTAAGTAGCTTCCAAAAATCTTGCGACCCATTCTCCTCCCACCCCTGTTCGCCCCCTACCTCGGTCCGCCACTGTGTGTACCTCTCTCTCTGCCTGCGGATTTTTGGGGGAAGATTAGGTACAAGCGAAGGAAAAATGGGGGGGGGGGGAGGGACGAAGCTATTCAAAATTTATCCGAAGTGTTGCTGTAAGAAAGTTTTCGTTATGTCTTCTGATCTCTGATGAAGACAACACAACGTTTCCTCCGAAGAAGTTGCACTACAAATTTTCAAAGCCATCAAAGCGCGCAATAGTATACGTTTGTGAAAATGATATGTTAAAACATTGATATTATAGTACAGTTAATGATTGATCTCACCTTTCAAACGGATTGCAGAGAACTGCCTGTTTTGTATGGTATTATATGTTTGAGACCGCGAGAACACGCTTTATCATCACCATAGAGGCTCTTAATAGGCAATCGGGAAAAATTCAATATGTAGATTGGAGTGAACCTTGGTGGAGAAGGCAACCCAGGGGACTTAGGAACGGGCGGAAAACGTTTAGGTTGTGCTGTGTTCAAACCAAGCGCCTATTAATAAGGGCTGCGCATGCTTGGTTTCCCTACTCTTGTAGGTGCTCTTTTCTGCTTCGTTCCTTTATTCCAATAGCGGATTCGCGCCGTTTGACACCTCAATAGACATGACTAAATGATTACCAAAATCTTTGGAAATCGTTACCGCAATTTCTGCAGCCTTACCTTAGAAACTGGCAACTATCCACTTGACTGTTGACATGCGGCTGAGTCACGTCGTGTACAAAAGATAAAAGCGTCGTTGCTGCTATGAATAAACACGACGGCAGACATTTCTTTAATATTATGGGAATATAGCAGAAATCATAAGGTGTCAATGATTAATCTGCCAACATATATGCATTTGAGAGAAACATAACATCAGGTCGGGAATTAAGTGCTGCAATTTTTTATACGAATTTTGTCTTTGTGAATACACCGCTTCATTATTTGGTAACATAGATTATGAAAGCTACGAATGCAGCCACTTCTGCCGAAACTGACCGTCGCATGCAAGAGTCTCGATAGGTTTACGGTTAAGGAAAATTTCATTTTGTTTAAGCTTTTGTATCATTTGAGATCTAGGAATATCCACATGCTGATTACAGCAGTGCTACTCATTTAGCATAAAAATGCTTTTTTTCATAGGTATGATATTGTTTTGCTTCCTAGATAAATCAAGATTATGTTACTGTTTAGCAGGTCCAGAACACGTCGCTCCCTGTAAGGGAAAAATACCAACTTAAGCAGACAGGAAAAATTCATCTATCTTCTTCGCTTACTTGTCTTTTTCGCTAAGTTGGCGACTGAAGAAAAACCATATCACTAGACGTGTCTTCGAACGCTAATTCCAATTCTGCTTTCACTTTTGCGGAGTGATTCTACGCAAAAAGTTACGGAGAGTTTGAAACAATGTCGAGCCTTGAGTGGCATAAAATTAGAGAAGAGCTGTCAAAACCGTCTATGCCGAATTCTACCAGATTCCTGCGTTTCTCTTGTTAGTCAGCATACTTGATACAGAACTAATGTGGTGTTTTCGGTTTTTTGTACAACTTTTCGCTAATTTTACGACAACTTAGGCTTGACTAATTCAGACTTTTGAACAATTAAAACTTCTTTCAAACAACTGTTCCACAGAAAAAACTTATGTAGAATTAGCCTTGCAAAGACGCGTTTACGTTTTACATCACTACATTAATTGTCAACTCCATGGGCTCCTTCCCTGTTTATTTTTTTTTGAAGAATGGTACCTCAAAGTCGTACTTCACAATTAGTGCATTCCACTCGTTAAATTCCTGGAAAGCGCTGGACAACTTGTTTCAAATTCTGTTCCTTTCCTGGAGCTTAGTGAGTCAACATATAGCAACACCGCTGCCCAATTCCTTCTCCTTGTGTTTAATTTAGGTGGGTTTGTTTCATTTTTACTTCAGAACCGTAAAATGATTTCATCAGTTTTTAAAGATGCTAGGACTTTTTCGCTTTATGACCAAAGGTCAAATGGTTTATGCATCTTTGGCCCAAATAACAATATATTTAGACATGTTTACGCACGATATAACCAAGGGGAAAACAAAACTTAGGTGCCAATTCAATACTCTCCTTGTGATGAGGTTTTTGACCGAAATTTTCTTCTGGTTCAAAACTAAATATTAGTTACTAGGTCCACAAGATACTCGTGCACAACAATAGCTACACTCAAAAGCTTGCAGATAATCTTTGTCTTTTTTGGAAGCTATTACAGCAATATCCTTGTAATGCATGGTGTCCCAAAGTAGATACACATTTTTGAGAGTTAATATATTTTCCAAAGTATTTTGCTTTTATGATCTTTCTGTAGAGCTGGTTTCAATTGAGATTTACAGTAAGCGCGAAAATACCGATTTTGATTACTGTAAGGTTATGGTCACGGTAAGATCTTTCAGCATACAACGCTATTGTAAAATAGGCCGCTTGAAAAAAAGTTTCAGAAAATCTTAGAAGTTATTTAGCAATGCTTTCGGGCATGTTGATTTCATAAGACAACTTTTCACGAGCGCTTTTGACTTCTTGAATTTGAATGTCAAATATGACCATTATCATTATTGTATTATCCATTCAAAAAGCCTAAAAGTTTATAAAGTTTAAGTGACATATTTTATATAAAGCTGAAGTCTGTGTATGTATGTTTGTGTGTGTCTGTCTGTCCGCACGACTTCTGAATATACTAGAGGGTGTCCGTAAAGTATGTATACACTGTTTGATGGTTAATATCTCTTTTCCGAAGAAGTCTTTTGCCTTTCATCAAGTACCATTTTGTAGAGCTGGCTTCAACTTAGATTTGCAGTATAGAACGAATCACCCATCTGTAGGATTACGGTAGAAACTTGAAACATATGGTGTCAATGTGGAAAAAGCTGCCGTTTCAAAATTTTTCAAAAAAAATGTGGAAACTTGTGTAGTAGGGTTTTTATGGACGCTGAGTTCATTACTCAGTTATTCACAAGATTGCGAAGCTTTCTAAACTGTGCAACCGCACTTTTTAGGAAAAACATTGAAAAAACATTGAACATTAACATTGAAAAAATGGCCGCTACCTCTTACCTGGCATGACTCTTCAATGAAGCATCACAATAAGTTGGGAACTTTATAGTTAAAATCAGCAACTCTAATTAGCCTAGTGTAAAAGTTTTCAGGCTGTGCTGTCTTCTTTCTGAGGCAAAATATGGCCATTCATGGCTCAAAACCCTCTTTCAACTTTCTCGTAATTCTACGGTAAAGGAGAAAGATGGATGATTCGCTTTATATTGTAAATCTAAGTTGAAGCCAGCTCTACAAAATGGTACCTGAAGCAAGGCAAAAAACTTCTTGGAAAAAGAGATATTAACGATTGAACAGTGTATACATACTTTACGGACACCCTGTATTTCTATACCGATCTAGTCCATATTTTGCACACATGCATTTCGGTGCGGAGCGGGTCCCATAAGCTACTTTTCCTCATAGATCGATAGCGATTTTACCGATTCTTTGTAAATTTGTTTGACGTACGGTGAGTTGGCACGGGGGTCAGTGAGCATGCTGATTACCAATACAAAATTGTTTTCCAAATTTATTGAAATTATCGATTTTTTTGCGAAGTTCGAGCTAAGGGGTGGGGAATTGACACAGTCGGGGTGAGCATGCTGATTATAATACATTAATACTTTCCAAAATTATCTATTAATTTTCAATTTTATTGACCTTTTTTGCAAATCTGGAGTTACGAGAGTGGGAGTTGGCACAGGGGATAAGTGGGCATGCTGATCATGCTGATTACGAGAAAAAGAGGATAGGGGATTGTCATATACAAGTAAGAGAGAACGGTTATACAGCAATAGGAATGGTGACCTTCTTCTAGTGTTTTCAGGACCGGGCCGAGGCGGGTATGCCAGCTAG